GAGTGAAGCGGCCAGCAGTAGGAGTGGCTAGTGTAGCAGGCAAACTCAGCACAGCTGCTGGCCATGTGTGTGGAGGTGTGACAGTGACATCAGCAGGGTTTTCAATGGGCAACAATGGCCAAGCTGCCAACAGAAGCTTCTCCCAGGTCCTCTGCAATTTATATGTAGATTGCCATCAGTTTCCTTTTGTAGATGTACGCTGTTCCATTTGGAAGTCAAGGTTGGTGCCACCTAAGTGGGTTTCCTGCTGCAGGAATTTGAGGGGAGATCATCCTCCTCCTTCATTTGCAGGGACATCAAGGCTCGGACATCGAGAAAGTGTGTCCCTTGTAAGTTACGACGGGAATCCAGAACAACGCGTACTGGCGCCCCTGCCACGGGGTAGCGTGGAAAAAAAGAGAATACCACAGATTTTGATAGCTTGGTTCTTTGGTCATTCAGGTTTGAGGATTTTCTGATTGTACATCTTAATTTCATTATTGATCCAATATACCAGCAGTTTTAATTTCATGAATTATTACGAATTTCTAGTTTTATCCACTGTAGTCTGAAGATACATGTATGATTTCTGGTTTTTTTGAACTTTTTGAGCCATGTTTTGTAGCCTGACATGATTAATCTTGGAGGATGTTACATGTGCTGATAAGAAGAATGAATAGTCAGTAGTTTTTGGAAAAAATCTAATGTTTGTTAGCTCATTGTAAGAGTCAAACCTTCTCTGATGATCTGTTCTATGCTGTCAGTGGACTGTTGAAATCCCCAGCAATTATGATGCTGCTGTTGATCTCTTTGCTTAGATCTAGTAGGGTTTGCTTGGGAATTGGGTGCTCCTGTGTTACATAAATAACAATTGTTTAATGTTGAAACTGTCCTTTACCATTATATAATGACTGTTCTTTTTCTTCTTAAATTTAAAGTCATTTTTATGTTTGTTATGAAATGGCTATATCTGCTTCTTGTGGTTTCCATGAATATACCCCACCAGTCTGTATTGTATCTTTGGGGTTTTAGATGTGTTTCTGGAGACAGCAGATATTAGTTGTTATTTTTATCCATTCAGCCAGCTATGTCTTTTGAGTAAGGATTCAACCATTCCACATGATTGATAGATTGATATGTGGATATGCCTGTTTATCCTGTTGGGTAGCTACCTTATTGCTTTTTGATTTTTTGCTATTGGTATACAAGCTCTGAGCTTTAGCTTGTTGGTGGTTTACCACTGGTGGTCTATGTGTTGATATATGTACAATTGGTTCTGAGTATTTCTTGCAGAGCAGGTCTATCTTGACAATTCCATCAAGTTGCTTGTCTGGAAGTCTATTTTTCTTTTGTTAAAACAAACACAACTAGGTGGCAGTTGTCTCTTAAGAAGAGAGGCCAACGTGCTTGTAGTATTCATTTGCATTTCTATAGTTAGCCTGAATATTTTTCTTGTAGATTACTCAATTTCACAAACCTTCATGTTGTTGTCGAGTCTAATGACTATGTGTCTTGGTGATTGCCTGTTGCAATAACTCCCACTGTTGTTGAGCTTCTTGTACTTGGATGTTAAATCTCTAGCAAGACTGAGTTTTCATTATTCTCTAATATTTTCCAGCCGCGTTTGCACTCAGTGCCTAATTTATATTGAGTTTACAAAATATATTTCTTGAACACTATTTCATTCCTCTTACTCTCTGTTTCTTTTTTTTTGACTGACTTATTTTTCAAAAGAGTTGTCAAGCTTCTGAGTTTTCTTCTGGCCTTCTAGTCTATTTAAACCGACCCAAATGAATTTCTTTTTTTATTTCAAGAGTAGTATTTTTTTTTAAAAATATGTGATCTCTTTAGTGAATTTTTCAGTTCATTTACTGAATTATTTCTGTTTTTTGAGTTGGTTTTCCATTTCTCTTGAATTTCATGAGCTCTCGCTTACAATAGTCCAAATGTAGGATGAATTTTATCTTGTATTATAAGTTTATATGTATATATATATATGAACCTTTAGATGATGTGATTCGTTTTAGAGAGCTGTGTGTCCATGTCTGTGCTATTGATTTCAGACTTCAAGAGTTCTTTTTGATCCTTTTCCCTGGGGGCTGTCATTTGTTGGATTTTCTGTTGGTCGTATATGGGCTATTCTATACCTCCGCTCTCACTTGTAGAGGGAGGTGTCTGGTATGGCTCATTGTTTGAAAGCGCTTTAGAAGTTTATCAATCTCTGGCGTGTTTTGTGCTGCTCTGATGATGGTCTCACGCCTAGGTAGTGATGATATGGATTTCTGTTTTCTATATAGTATCTCTCCAAATTTAGTTTACAATTTGTTGTGGATTTTTCGGTTGTTTGTATCTAGGAATGCCTAGTTGTTATTGATTTTTTTGTGTTAGGGATGCAGCTATAGGTAGACCGCTATATGTGTGGCATGAATTTCCCTGTCTCTACTGAGAAGAGAAAAACTATTTGTGCTTGAGGTAGCCTTTCTGTCTCAGTCCAGCCCTAGTCTTTTAAACATATATGTGAAGTTCATGTTCACTTTAGCCACCCAGTGCCGTCTTGTAAGGCACCCAGTTAGAAATTAGAATACAATATTAATTCAAGTCGAGGCAAATCAAGTGAGCGCTGTATGTGGAGCATAGGAAAAAAACCCATGCTGTATGTGTGTCGAATTGGACATAGCAAAAAATGAACCCTCCCATGTCAGACTAAAAGTTGGTATCATTTCCAGAAAAAACAAAGCGGTCAGTAGTGTCTATTGAGGAAATACAATGATTGTTTTGTGTCAGTGACGTGTGTGGACCAGCTCTAGTCTCAGGAAAAAGCACTTGAATGCCCCAGGTGGTTGGCAGAGCCTGCAACTTCTAGGCGAGTCCTTCTCGCTACAGTACGTGGGGGTGGGTTGGTGTGATATGTAAAAATAATGGGAATGGTATTGTGGCTTATAGTGAGGGTAGTGGCTGGGTTGAGTGAGTTTGCGCTAAAGACTCCACAAAGCTGGTAAACTAAGATTGTTTCAGAGGCGTCTAAAAATGCGTGAATGTATTCAAAACAAAAAAGGCTAGTGATTCGGTTTTCGAAATTAATGGGTTATAATATATGTATTGTAAAATTTCTCAAAAGTTTACCCAATAATAGCAATTATTTAACTTAACAGGTGTAGTATTAATGCTGACTCGAAAGCTCATAGATTCTGCCTGGGTTATAAATACAATGGCCCACCCAGCCACAAAGTTGTGCTTAAAATGGGTTGTGAATTGAGACAGATATTTGAGGATTACAAGATCAGAAACGGGTGGCCAAATTTTGCGTTCACGAACTGGCTTCATGTGAGATGTCATTCTGGTTCTGCCTCTATCTCCAATGGTTTCAATATTAGTTAATACGTGTGACCATGGTATTTACTTAATAATGCGCCCCTGCATCTCTGTTGGTTTCCCCGCAGTGTCTTAGCCAGAGGCATACTGTTAGCTCTCAATTTAGTAAGCTAGAGTCTGTCATCTCCCCAATGACAGGCTACAACTATTAGGTTCTGGAGAGATACTTAAATCTCATCTCTTGTGGGTTAGATGTGTTTTCTGGAGACAGCAGATACTTAGGTTGTATTTTTTCATCCATTCAGCCAGCCTATGTCTTTTGAGTAAGGCATTCAAACCATTCACATTGATTGATAGAATTGATAAGTGGGATATTGCCCTGTTTATCCTGTTGGGTAGTACCTTATTGCTTTGTTTGACTTTTTGTGCTATTGGTTTATACAAGCTCTGAGCTTTAGCTTTTGGGTGGTTTTACACTGGTGGGGGTCTATTGTGTTGATATATGTACAATGTGGTTCTGAGTATTTCTTGCAGAGCAGGTCTAGTCTTGACAAATTCCATCAATGTTTGCTTGTCTGGAAAAGTCTTTATTTTTCTTTTGTTTATGAAACTTATTTTTGTAGGATACACAATTCTAGGCTGGCAGTTGTCCTCTTTAAGAAGACTGAAGATGGGGCCCAATCCCTTCTGGCTTGTAGTATCTCATTTGGCATTTCTATAGTTAGCCTGATAGATTTTTCTTTGTAGATTACTTCACATTTTTGCCTCATGGCTCACAGAGTTTCTCCTTCATGTTGACTTTGGCCAGTCTAATGACTATGTGTCTTGGTGATTGCCTGTTTGCAATAAATCTCCCACATGTTTGTTGAGCTTCTTGTACTTGGATGTTTAAATCTCTAGCAAGACTGGGGAAGTTTTCTTCAATTATTCTCTAAAATATGTTTTCCAGCCCTTGTGCCTTTTCTTCTTCACCTTCAGGGCTGCCTAAGATTCTTATATTTGGCTGTTTTACAAAATATATTTCTTGAACACTATGTTCATTCCTCTTACTTCTCTGTTCTTTTTTTTTTTTGACTGACTGATTTTATTCAAAAGAGTTGTCTTCAAGCTCTGAGATCTTTCTTCTGCCTGGTCTAGTCTATTCTTAAACCTTCTTGCTGTGCTTTGTATTTCCTCAAATGAATTTCTTTTTTTTATTTCCAAGAGTAGTATTTGTTTTTTTAAAAAATATGTTGATCTCTTTAGTGAATTTTTCATTCATTTACTGAATTATTTTTCTGGTTTCTTTGAGTTGGTTTTCCATTTTATCTTGAATTTCATTGAGCTTCCTTACAATCCATATTTGGAAATCTTTATCTGTTATTTTAATATTTTCGTTTTGCTTGGTATTCATTGTTAGAGAGCTGGTGTTCCATTTTGGGGTGTCCTTGTGCTATGATTTTTCAGACTTCAAGAGTTCTTTTGCTGATTCCTTTCCCCCTGGGGGAGCTGTCACTTTTTATTTTTGGATTTTCTTTTGTTTATATGGGGCTTACCCCTCTCACTTGTAGAGGAGTGTCTGTAGCATATGTTGGGTAAGAACCTTTGACTTTGCTTGTGGGTCCTTTGATGTCAGCCTAGGTTATGAATGGATGTCTTGGTTATAGATATCCTTAATGTGCTGGTTTTATCAGTTGCTAGTTGTTTGTAGGCTGTAGCAGTGGTGAGCTATATGTGTGGGCAGATTCCCTGTCTCTCTTTGATGAGGGAGGATGGAGGTCTTTGAA